TAGACTTGTGATCCAGGATTTTCAATGGATCATATTTCCGAAGTAGATTACCAGGCCTTTCTTTTGAGGCATCTCTAGGTGAATTGAACAGCCAACCTTTCCCTTAGCAACCAAACGTTTGTACTACCCAATAAAAAGCACTCAGACATTTTGGCTCCCAAACATATACCCTTAACCACTATTCCACGCGACCTCCCTGGATCGGCCCACTGCTTTTGCTCAGCAGCTATGCCCAGAACAAACATTACTTCATTGTCAGAGAGACCCACGCCCTGCAACACACACAGAATAAGGATTTAGATAAAAACCCAAAACAGACTTTTCACATACTTGCCTGTTTGGGAGACGGGAGGCTGGGGCCAGGGCGGCATTAGGAGGATCTGGGGTTTGGATGGACTTTGAAGACTATCAGAAGGCAGAGATGGGAATGATACCAGCAAATCCAAAAGGCATTTTACATTCTTATCTCCTCAGGTCCTCAGCAACATCTGACCTGTTAGTCACGATCGCCCTCTTAAAACACGCTTTTGCATCAACGACCTAATTACCTCTACTGCTTAAGAAGTGTAAAGGTCTCCTTTGGGTTAGCTACTAATGAGGTGGAGAGAAGGGGAGGACACAGAGGAAGGCTTTCAGAGCGGCACTTCCTCTTACCATGCAGATTCCATGGAATACACTATTGTATTGGATTTGTTGCTTTGTCATCTTTCTGGCGACAAACAGAAGTAACTGGAAAGCAAGCTAAAAACAACCTCTCAGCAGCCCAGTAGCAGCCAAAGTTCACCTGCTACAGCAGGTGTTTTTATTTAAGGGCCACTGTTGAAAGAGCATAGACTTTGGAGTCAGGCAGCCCTCCGTTGAATGCGGGCTCCCCCACTTCCAGCCTATGTAAACGTGGGCAGATTGCTCAACTCCTTTGAGCCTCAATTCTTTATCTAGACCAGTGTTTCCCAAAGTGGGCCAAAGTGCTTCCAGGGGTGGGGGTGGGGGGCTAGAATGATGGTGCAGCAGGGGATGGGGGTGGGGAGCTGCAAATGCAGATATCTACACTTTAACCTGGATTATGGACTATAGCACAAAAGTCTTTAATTACTGGGGAGAAGGTCTAAGTAAGTGGTTTGGGGGTTTTTGTGGAAAAGGGGTTAGTAGGTCATATGTTTGGGAACCTATGATCTATACTATGGGACTCATACAAGGAGCAGCTTCACAAATTCGTGGGAAAATTCCAGTATCTTCTTCTTAGTTTTTTTCCCCCAATATCTTTTGATTCCATTTTTCCACAAACTTTTTGAAGCTCCCTCCTACCGGTGTCATAAAATTGTTGTAAGCAAAACGAGACAATGCATATAAGATGCTGAATACTCTGCCTGGCACATCACTGTCAAACAAGAAACCACTGCCAGCAAGAGATGACTCCTGACTCGCACTGACCGTACAGGACACAGCAGAACTGCCCGATAGGGTGTCCAAGGCTGTAAATCTTTATGGAAGCAGACGGCCTCGGTTTTTCTCCCATGGAGTGGCTAATGGATTTGAACTGCTGGCCTTTTGAGTTATCAGCCCAACTCATAACCCACTATACGGCCAGAGCTCCTGGAGCTCTTGGCAGGCCCTTGAAAAAATATAGGAAGTCTTCTTGGAGTTATGGAGGGAGCAGATCCGTGGCACAGAGAGGCTCCCGGAGCAGGGCCATATGTCCTCGAGAGAGACAAGAGCCAGTCCAGGTCCGTCTGGGGCAACAGGGAAGGAAACATCCATACTTCTGCCTACCGAGTAGAACTCTGAGCCGAAGACCCAAACACTCTACCCGAGTCTGTGCTCCTCAGGGATACAGTCTGTCTTACGCATCTTTCCGGTGCTTGCCCGGGTGCTGGGCACAGAGTAGGCACACATACCCACTGATGAGCACCCAACCACCGAAACGGAGCAGGGTTGTAGAATACCCATGGTATGGCAAGAGGAGCCCCCTGGATAGTGAAAAGGATGGATGCGCTTAGCTGCTAACCAAAGGGTTAGGGGTTTGAGTCTGCCCAGGCTACCCCACCCCCCTAGTCCGAAGAAAGACCTGGTGATCTACTGCTAAAAAAAATCAGCCCCTGAAAACCGTGGGAGCACCGTCCTACCCTGATACTTACGAGGTCACTGAGAGTTGGCTATTTTGTTTCTGTTGGGCAGTATAGATTTTTGTGTCATAGACTAGGTTCTGTATGATCTGTGGGTCTGTCGCTTGTTTTTTCCAACCCTGCATTCTCATATGAAAAACGGGGATGCTGTTAGGACTTGGCTTATAATGTTCTGTGCTAAAAACATGCCACACATGAAGATTATAACACACACCTGGCCAACTGTAGGCTCAAGAACCTTTAGTTGTTATGATTATGACCTTTGGGTGAAATTGTCCAAAAAAGGGTGGAGTAGTCGAAGCCCTTGGCAGACATGAAGGGAGCCGGGCACCATGAGCGCAGGACGGTCCGAGAGGCCTGCGATCTTTAAGGGAGACTCAGAATGAGGACAACAGAAACAACAAGCAAAAGAGGGACAGGATCCTTTCTGAGGAGGAAGGACGGCAGAATGACTCACCTCGATAAAACCCAGTTTTAAATGAGAATAACTTGTCAATGATACAATATGATAATAAAATAAACATCGCTTGGGAAGGAAAGGACCTCCCGAGAACATGGAAGGAGGGGCGTCTCTTTCAATTGGCCATTGTCCCTAGGCTCACAATGACACCCGGGGTCATTCAAATAACTTGCGAATGCGATCAGTCTCTGTCATCTTGAGAGCTTTGGACAAATGCTCTCCTAATCTTCAGAATGTGTGTGTGTGTGTGTGTGTGTGTGTGTGTGTGTGTGTGTGTGTGTGTGCTGAAGGAGAGCTGGGAGTAGAATTCTGGGAATTGCTACCCACAGGGCTGGACGGCGATGTCCAATGACACAGACAGTCTTCGGCCACTTAGGAGAGAGACTCTTGATGACAAGGGGTTCACTTGAAACAAAGCACAGCAGAAAAATTCCTCTTGCTTCTTAAAGAGTGGATTTCTCTTCCGTTTAAAAAAAGCGGTTTTATCAACTGTGCAGGAGTGGATTTGGTTTTGATGGGGTGTACCAGCTGTGTTAAGAACACTGGCTGAGCCAAGCATATAGAGATGGAAGGCATGCATTCCCAGTCAACATCCCTGTGTGGCCTCTGTCGTCAAGGGGGTGACCCGTAACCCGGATGGTAATAACACTAAGTGTGGCATCACAACTAAAGCCTATAAACTATACCTACCTAAAGCCTACAGGTGAATGGCTCAATGTCCATTCTGCATTTTCCCCCTCATGTCCTGTTCGGTATTTTGACCAAAGACCAAGTGAAGACTCAGAAGACATGTCTATCAAATTAGCACCTGGCAGAGGTAAGAGGGATGGCTGCCATGCGTGGAATTCTGCATTCACAGTGATCTGAGGTGTTGGACTGAGCAGGGGACCGAGAATAAAATCGAATCCAGCTGGAGGCTGCACTAGCCTATTAGGTAACGAGTTCCAGTCACGGGAAATAGTCTTAAAGTTCGCTCCTAGGAGACACAAAAAGAAAGCCAGAGGAGGCCCTGGCTGGCCGTGAGGCCTGACCCCTGGAGATCTCTGGAAAGGCATGAGAATGGGCTGGCATGTCGGAGAGCTGAAACAGGGAAGTGGGAGAGAGATTCTGACTTTTTCTACAGGGAAATATTGGGGCAAGTTGTGGATTTCATGGGGAGTGGTTTTCCTTAAAATCCAGAGAGTCTAACATTAAGAGCTGGCTGGAGAACAGAACGAAACTCAAAAACCTCCCTGCCATTGAGCCAGTGCCGACTCATAGTGACCCTATAGACCAGGGTACAACTGCTCTGTGAGTTCCCAAGACGGGGACTGTTGATGGGAGTAGAAAGCCCAGTCTTTCTCCCACAGAGCAGTTGGTGGTTTCGAACTGCCGACCTTGCGGATCGCAGTCCAACAGGTAACCACTATGCCAACAGGGTATCCAAACAGATGGTAAACAACCCTGATGGGGAAGACTGGGCCAGATGGCGCTGGGTCCTTCCAATGTTAAGCTTCCGTGTGCTCGGGGCCAGCAGACGACACTCCTGGCAGATGCCCCATCAGTTCCATGTGGTTGGGACAAGATGCTCAGGGAAGGCTTCCTCCAGGCCTTGAAGACGGAGATCACATGGACCCCCCTTCCATAGTTTGCCCCAACCTAGCCCCACAGTGGCAGCACTTGGGAGGAACAGGCACTTATTCACACGTAGGTGAGTGGGATGGTGGAGGCCAAGAGTTCTCTCTGGAGCAGCCCTCGTTCAGCAGATGGTGGAGAGAGCAGAAAGAGAGGGAGTGTCGCAGCCAGAAAACCAGGTCCCAGGAACGAGTCCTGGTAGGCGCTAACGTGCGTGAGTGCGTGCGTGCAGTAAGAGGAAAGGAGAGATGGGAGGGAGATGCACACAGGGACCCAGCTCCTTCACTGTGTCCCAGGATGACAGCTTGTCGGACCGGGAGCGGAGACTGCTGGGAGCACTGAGGGCCAGTGCCGTGCCAACTCAAGGCCATTGAGGCCATTGGGGGAGAGGCCAGGGCTGGACTCCAGACCCACAAGAGCGTCCAGTCGCACTTCAGCCCTTTGCCAACTGTGGGGCCTTGGGGACGTGAGTTCCTTTCCCTGTGCCTCGTTTCCTCAGTTATAAAATAGAGATACAGGGCAGCTGTGAGAACAATTTGAGCGGTGGACGAGAAGCACCTGGCGTGTAGGACGTTCTACCTAGCAGTTAACACTCCCTTCTAGTTCATCTGAGAAGGATGGCCGGTTCTGAGTAGCAGGGAGCCCGTCCTCAGTGTAGCTGGTACCCAGGTACCGAGAAGCATTAGCTAGGTGGGTCATTCACAACAAATTCACCCCCACGTTGGAGTCAAATCCCTGAGCTAGGGTCCTGAGGAGGAGGAAGGACTGGTGGGAGTGGGTGGGTGGGTGGAGGGTGAGGTTACCTTCTCCCCAGGGGTGACGGAGATGCGCCACACACAGTGCACATGGGCAGAGTAGCCGTTGGGGTACTCGGGGGAGGAGAAGTTGCCTATGCTGTCTTGCAGCGTCTCTCCACAGGCTGTTGAGGAAAAGAATGGGCTGGAATCCGCTCCCCCCACCCCCAACTTCCCACCGCTCCTCAGCCCTATGTATTCTCTGTGAGAGAATGTTTCAGGGAAGAGGGAGTCTGGACTGGTCCCGTCCCTTTAAGATCCACCCCACCTCTCTTCTCACCTATAAGCACAACCCATCCGACCTCACCCAGGCTAGTGCTGCCAGGGTAACCGGCTGCCAAGTTGTCAAGGCAACATGGGCTCCAGAGCGATGGTCAAGCTCTGGTGTCAACCTCCTCCCTCAGTGGGTCTCACTCGCTCAGTCCACCGCCCTCCCTTGGGACTGCTCTGGTCGCCTCCTCCACCTCCACCCCCCTTTCCTGTCGCTCTGTGCCTCCCGCTCTCATGACTTCAGTTTCTCACCACCCCTGCCCCCTTGCCCTTTTGGTCCCTTGGCGTGAAGCTGCTCCTCTCCTGTGCCCCCTCCTCCCCACACCAGGCAGCCTCTTTCATTCTCTAAGACTTGCATCTCTCAGCTTCCGGAGGGCGGAGGCCCTAGGCCCTGACCTCTGGCCCCTTTCCTCCTGGGCACTGTGCTGGGAACACAAACCTGGGCACTTGTAGAGCTTTCGGGCCTGAGCAATGTCCCCCTTGCTGAGCCGGGTCCTCTGGCCAATGGGAGGTTTCACCCCGTTCACCTCATACTTAGGAACGATGGTGTCCAGGAAGATGCCCCTGGGAAGGGAAAGCCCAGCCCCGGGTGAGTCGGACAGATGGCAGCGTGCCTCCCTGTGCCCACAGGTTGTGACCCTGCCTGCGCCCAGACATTCCTCAGCAGGGTCAGGGAAGGGCGGAGATGTCGCACCCTGTCATTAAGCTGCCCACTGACCAGCAGCCACCCTGCTCCGTGGCAGCCACACCAGGAACATGTTGAGAGGTCAGGGACCTGGGTCCACTGGTGCATCTTGACCAGTCAGGCCCAACTTCCAGTCACACGGGAGGGACCCCTGTTCCCTCTTGTCTCCCTCCCCAGTCATGCCTGCTTCTTCTGCCCCCTCATACTGACCAGCCAGCCCGAACTTCCCAGCACTACCCAGACAGAACCTGGAGCAGAGCCAGGCCAGGCCCCACCTGGGCCAGACCAGACTCTGCTAGCTCCCAGGCCATCAGTGCCTCCTGCCTCCCTTCCCATCAGGGAGGAGCAAAACAAAGGGGAAACAGCAGCCCTCGACCTCCCCTGGGTCCCTGACTCACACCCAGCTGGGTGGAACACAGCAGGAGATGGGGGAGGGTTGGGGGCTGGGGAGTTTGTGGGAAGTATCAGGGTGGGAGTCTGTAGGGTGGGGGCAGAATGACCTCACCGCCCTTCCTTGGTCTCTGTTTCCTCAGGTCTGGAGGCAAAGAGTGTGGGATTTAGTGTGGGGGCTGGGGAGGGCGGATGAGGAAAGAGTCAGGCATGGGAAAGGGGAGTGAGGGCAGGGAAAGCCAGTTCCCACACTCTTCTGAGAAGCCGGGCTCCAAGCACAAGCACGGCTGGGCCTCTTTAGCAATGGGCAGTGGTGGGCCCACCTGGACCCCACCAACCTGGCCTCCTTTCTCCTGGCAAGTGGCTAAGGACAGTCTTCCAGCAGGGCCACCCTCTTTAGGGGGGGTTCTGCTGGGACTTCTGGGAGCCTGGGAATCAGCCCTGACCAAGGTGGGCCCTGCATAGGGAGTGGGAGAGTGTGGGTGTCTGGGAGTCGGGGTAAGAGCTAGGCCAGTGGTTCTCAACCTTCCTAATACCTCAAACCTTTAATACAGTTCCTCATGTTGTGGTGACCTCCAACCATAAATTTATTTTCGTTGCTACTTCATAACTGTCATTTTGCTACTGTTATGAATCGGGTGATCCCTGTGAAAGGGTCATTTGACCCTCAAAGGGGTCGAGACCCACAGGTTGAGAACTGCTGAGCTAGGCTTTAGTCTGTTACAGAAAGGCCTCCCTGGGCTCTGGGAAGGGCCAATTGGATAGTGCTCCCTCTGCACGCTGCGCCTCCCCCAGAGCCATTGTGGCCCAACAGCTGACTTGCAGAGCTGCTGGGTCTCAGGCTCCTGGGACAGGTGTGCTGGGGAGGCACTGTGGTGGGCAAAGGACATTGGTTTGGGGGCTTCAGCTCTGATGAACTCACATGAGGAAGAGGACCACAGGGCAGGCAGCTCCCACGGAGCCTCTGCTCAGGGAAGGCGGCTGCCCAGAGGACAACTCTTTATCTTGGGCCACGACCCCAGCAAGACCAGGCTGGTGGGAAGCAGGAGGGAAAGAGAATGGCCTACCGGGTGGCAGGCAGGCCCGGGCTGCCCTAGAGAGGCCTGGCTCCAACTCTCACCTGGAAAATGTGTTCCGGGCGTAGTGCATGATACTGTCAAAGTCATACGTCTCCCCCAGAGACTCCACCTCCTGGAACTCCATCTTCAAGAAGTTGTACTCCTGCCCTGCAGAGGCGAGAGGCAAAGGGGGTGTGGGGCAGGGGGAGACCCACAGCCACCTGTCCCGAGTCCGGAATGGGGTCCTTCCTGTACCTGAGAGGTGTCCTCCCCCACCTGCGGGGCCGGGGAGCAGCCAAGAGAAGTCTGGGGGAGGGGAGGGAGTCCTGTCCAGCAGAGGGGCGGAGTGAGGGCTTTCTGGAGGAAAGACTCAAAGGAATGTGGGGTGGAAGCACCCAGGTCTAGAGCTACAGCCTGGAGGGAGGCAGTGAAGAGTGGAGGAGGCCTGAAGAGGAGAGAGAGGGGAGGCAGAAGGTGGGGGCGGGGCACGGGAGAGATAAAACAAACAACAGCAGCACCAGCAACAACAACAACCCCAGACAGGTGCCACAGTGTCGGCCTTGACTCCTAGCAGTCCTGTGTGAACCAAGGCAGAATTGCGCTCCATGACAGATGACCAGGAAAGAACAGAAGAAACATCCTCTGAGGACGGATGACAGTAGGCGGGATCAAGAAGAAGAGAAAGGCGTGCCCTGGCATACAAGGTCGGACTGGCCACGCCCCCACCCAGCCCTGGTTGGGGTGCTCCTGCTGGCCCCACGTCCAAGAGCAGGCGTGGTCTAGGATCCCCAAAGCAGCCCCACGACTGACTAGCGGTCCCTGAGCCTCGCGCGCGGAGTGTGGACAGACGTGGGCTGCGGGCTGGGGCTGCAGCCGCCTAGCCTGCAGCGTCTGTACTGCTGAGTTGACAAAAAGCAAAGGCAAGGTCTCTGCGGGCGATCGCATTCCTGTTCCAGGCCCTGGAGGGAGGGGCGAGCGCCGCGTACCTGGCTGGATGTTCTCGCGCACGATGGAGACGTGGCGGTCCCGGTCCGGCCGTGTGTGCTCGTGCCAGAAGCCGATGACGTGACCCAGCTCGTGGACCACGATGCCGAACTTGTCGCAGTTCTTTCCGATGGAGATGGCCTGGGGGCCTCCGCCTCGGCGACCCACGTAAGAGCAGCACCTGGGGGGCGGGACCAGCTCAGGGGGGCGGTCCCGAGCTGGGGGAGTGCATCCACTCAGGGGCCGGGCGAGGCTGCAGGGGCGGGTGGGTACGGAGGGCAGGGGAGGGATCTGAGTGTAGAACACCAGGCCGCAACCTATGTGCTGGGGGGTATCCTCACTTCAAAGGGGCAGTTCCTGGGGAGATAGCTGATGGCAGGAAGGGGCAGGTCCCGGGGCAGCGGGCAGCTGCAGTAGTGGGGAGGGCAGGGTGCAGAACTTGCGTTTGGGCAATGCCTGAGCGCTGGTGCCCAGGGGCCCCTGCTCACCCGCAAGGTCGATAGGTGAATACAATATAGCTGTCCTCGTCCGTGCGCTCCAGGAAGGTGACGCAGGTGTTCTTCTCCCAGTGTCTCATGGCCTGCCGGAAGACTGCCCTCTGGCTGCCTGCCAGGACAAAGGGGGCCAGGCTGTCACCGTGTCCACATGGACCCACCTCCACCCACTGCTAGAGAGCCACCCCGTCCTGTGTGCAGGCTGCATGGAGAGACAAATGGGGTGGCCCCAAGAGTGCCTCCAGGGCCCCTGCTCACCAGTGAAGTTTCCCCCTATGACAAAGGGGATGACCCCATCTGGCCACACCCGCTCCAGTCGGGATGTGGCCGCCCGCCGACTCCGACTCCGGGGTCTGCCTCTCCATCTTCCCCGGGGTTTCCGCTGTCGCTGGCCCCCGGCGCTCTGGCTGTCAGGAACTGTGGAGTTCCCTGGGTTTTGAACGAGGAAGGAGTTGGCAGAAAGCAGGTGGCCGCGGGGAGAGGAGGCAACAGGGCGAATTAGACATCCGAGGAGTGGCCTTTCTGAAAAGCTGAGCAACAGCTCTGTCCACTTCCTAGGGACCACGGGGAGCCTGAGGAGGGGGCATCTGAGGCTCCGGAGGGGATCCTTTCTCCACTGAGAAGCCTGCTGCTTTGGGAGGCAGACACAGTCCAACAGCGTCAGTGCAGCGCTCTGGCGGTGTCAGCACAGAGCAGGGAGGGTGTCGGACAATGGAGACAGACACATGTGTATGTCTGGTCCAGTCAGGGACCATTTCATCAGAGAAGCTCTAGCCGTGGGCCTTGAAGGCTGCGTACAAGTTTGCAAAGTAGAAGCATGAGGAGGCACACGGAGAGAGAGTGAGGGGTGGGGGAAGAGACCTGGGTTAGGAAGGAGAAGGCTGAGATTTCGGGTCCAGGCTCTGGCACTGACTCATGTTGTAGTGAAGCTTAGTCTGTGTACGTGTCAACCGAGACATGTCCTAACACCTACCTTTGAAGGTGGTTGAGATAGACCAGTTAGATAATGCTTCTGGGAGTGCTTGGGAGACTGTGAGCAGAAAGGATGTTGGTTCTTAGCTCTAGGGTAGGACTACACTAACTATTCCTCTGGAGGAGGAAAGCCATCCCCCCAGACCCCGACACTGCAGACAAGTGAATGGTCTCCGTCTAAGAACCATGACTTTCCCTGTGGCTAGGAGCAGGAGGTTCTCTGTTTCCCCGAGTCTGGTCCCCATCCCCAGGGCGTCAGAAGGCTGTCCACACCCACGGTACCTGCAGCTTTGATGGAAGAACGCGCAGTGGCCCGCTGCCTGAGGTCTGCAGCCTGTTGCACCTGGAAGGCCCTCAAGTCCTCTTCATCCAGGGCAATGTCACCAAGAAAGGCGGCTGGGGACAGCAAGAGGCCAGGGGCTGAGCTGTGCTCTGACCCGGCATCGGGGTGTACAATCCCAACCCAGGTGTCGGTGCCCATCACCCCCAGAGCAGCATTCACGCTCAAACCCCATGTGAGGAGGAATCAAGAAAAGGACTGGCCTTGAGGATCTCTTGGGAAATCATGCCCACTTTTTTGGGGGGGGGTATTGAGTGGGGAGCAGAGCCCAGCCAGCCCCCACCGGACCGTTAGCCCAAGAAGGCACTGTCGCATCCTTTATCCCATCTGTCTTCAGCAAACACCTCGTGAGCACCTATGATCTAGACACCTATGCAGTACAGGTGTCTGCTGTATTGCAGGGGCAGTCTGGTGGCCTTGAAGCCGGAAGCCCTATAACCTCCACGTCCAATCCCAGCAGGTGCACCAAGGACACCGCTGTCAGTGGAGATTCCAGGCCAACACAGACCAGGATTAAGAGCCTGGTGATCCGATTCTGACTCTATGGCTCAGAGCAGACGACTGTCTGGCGTGGTGCTAGGAGAGGACCCCTAGTTTTGAAGACATCCCAAATACAAGTGGCCACAGCAATGAACTCCATCGTTGCAGCAATCGTGAACACGGCACCACACCACACCTAGCCACTGCCAGTCGGTTGATTCTGACTCGCAGTGACCCTATCGGGATGGAGGAGAAGTCCTCCATCGGGTTTCGGAGCCTGTAGGTCTTTTAGGGAGCAAACGGCTTCCTTTTTCACTGCTGAGTGGCAGGTGGATTTAACAGAGGTTAGCAAACCGATGCTTCTCTCAATCCACAGCCAGGGCTCCTGGGTGACGTCACAAAGCCAAATGATGTTTGTTCTGTTGTTCTCAGAGTCGCCCTGAGTCAGAGCCCACCATGCCACGGCAACCAGCCTGGTGGGCCAGGTAGGTACTAGTCTGGTGTTGGGCAAGACAGAGGAGCTGCCAACCTAGGGAGGAAAACCAACACTAAACAAGGAAACGGATGCTGAACTGGGAAATTCCAGATGGCAAGGGATGCTGTAGAGATGGTAGGATGTCTACTTTGGGCGCCTATAAGCCTTGGCTCTGCGCTACACCTGTGATAGTCACGCTACAAACACCATTTTCACTTCATTGAGGGGATGGTAGGGATAAAAACGGGAGCTGCTGGGCCTATTAGGGAAACTGAGGCCCAGCTGGACAAGGTTGAACAGCTCCCAGGGGGTGCCTGTTCTGAATCTCCGGAGAAAGAGGGCTCTGAGGACAGAGTCGCTGCCAGGGCTGGGAGAGAAGTTTCCGGAGAGACGGCCGAGCAGGCCGACTCCTTCTGGAGAGGTCTGTAGCAGGAGGAAGCAGAGGCCACAGTGCTGACCGCTCTGGAAGGCGCTCAGAGGAAAGCTGTGCGCTGGGCTGGGGTGGGTGGGGGAGGTGGGAAGCTGAGCTGAGGTGGGAACAGAAGGCAGCTGCCCTGCAGCTCCACCCATGGCGACATCTGCTTCTCATCCTAGAGTGTACACAGGCCTGGCGGTCAGCATTACACACATTGTTTTAACCTTAAGGCCTTCCACACAGGTTTCTCCTCCCCACATGGCCCGACTGGGTGGACACACACACTGACTTCACCACACACAGAAGCAGGCACAGCAGTTAGTGTTCCTCAGACACATGGTGAACGCCACCCCCATGCCATCCAACACTGAACTATGCCAAGTCTCAGAGACACCCTGTGCACCCGGACAGTGCCCAGCACAGCACTTCCATGTGGGCTCACCCGCTACCACCCCCTACCACCGAGTCTCTGGTGACTCAAAGGGACTCTACAGGACAGGGCGACACTGCCCCTGTGGATTTCTGAGACTGTAACTCTTTACGGAAATGGAAAGCCTCATCTTTCTCCCATGAAGTGGCTGGAGGTTTCGAACTGCTGACCTTGCAGCTAGTAGCCCAGCGGGTAACCACTGCACCACCAGGGCTCCGGCATGAGTAAGGCACTCAATAAATGACTGAAGGAATGAGGCACCCTGGTATTCTTCTGGCTGCGAATACATGCCTGGAGACACATGCTCACGTACAGATGTGACCTAGACACTGATCAGCTGAATGTGGGAGTGATGTCAGCAGCCATTTAGGCCACCTTCCTGAGGTCTGGAAGATAAACGATTGAACCAAGACCATCTAACCCCATCACTGGAACAGCCGGATCGAGCACTTCGGCCTCTGATTCTTAGTCTACCGCTCCTTGCACTCAAATCCACTGCCTTTCTAGAACCCAGCTGGTAAACACACACCACCAGAAATAGACACTCCACAGACTCACGCTTCCACCAGAAAACACACATGCAGTCAGAGACAGTCCTGGGAAAGTACACATGCCTAGGTTCCAATACACACACTCTCAGGAACAAACCCACACCAAACTCTGGACCCACTAAGCCAACAATAGTAGCAATAATGACACCTTATGTCAATGTCTGTTGAAGTTTAAGATGGCACTTTCCTCATTAAAGAGTCCGTTTAATCAGGGCCCACCCATGACATGCTCACAGGCCATGCTCCGCCCCATGCAGTTGCCCAGGACTGCCCCACTACACCGGGAGAGAGAACCTCATGGCTGGGTTCCAGCCCCATGCCTGCCTTTAGAGATCAGAATCCTTGGATCTAGAGAGAAGAAATGACCTGCTCAAGGCCACCTGCAGGTACTCACTGTCAGCTTGTCAACTACGACTCATAGTGACCCTACAGGACTGAGTAGGACTGCATGTTACGGTTTCCAAAATTGAAACTTTTTACAGTTTCGCCTTTCTCCTGAGGAGCGGCTGGTGAGTTTGAACACCCGAACTTGTGGTTAACAGTGGGCTGGACTCTCTTCCGCCACACTAAAAAGCCTCTTGGACTTCAAATGGCCTTGGTTCACCAGCTGATGGAACAGCAACAGAAGACAGTTCTTAGCCGACATGCAAGGATATGGGATGGAAGCCACAGGCTTCGATGCAGTGGTGGGTTCTTACATGACAATGCTCACACCAGTGCTCACATGCTCCATGAACACCCCCCACCCATCTTTGTACCCTTGCACAGACACTCCCTCCAGACTCACACACCCACGGACATCACCACACATACACACGTGGCTGGACAGTTAGACTTGCTTTTGGACACAGCAGCAAAAGCCAAGGTCTTCAGAGTCAGGCAAACCACCTTTGAATCCCAAGTTGCTATAGCAGACAAGTCATATAAACTCTTTTACACCTCAGTTTGCTCATCCATAAAAAGAGACATAATGAAATCCATCTAAGATAACTGCAGGCAATAAGGCACCTGGTCCAGAACCTGAAGCCTGGTCAGTGCCCATTAAGTGGCTACTGTCACCACTGTCCCAATAGCCCCTAAATTCATGTTCACTGCTATATTTTGCCAGGGTTGGAGGCAAGTGGCTGAGTGAAGGGCTAGGTGATCAGAACCAGGACCTCAAAGGCCATGTCCTGGAGGTCACAGGGTACTTGCTGGCCTGTGAAGCAGGCCCGTGTTGAGGTCAGGGCAACAAGAGGGTGAGCCCAGCTTCCAGCCCTGCAGAGCCGAGTGAGCGGGAACCCTGTGGTGGGGATGTCATGGTCGAAGAATGCGTGGGAACGGAGTGGGGGAGGGAAGGGATGGATGGACAGGAGAGCCTTATGGCTCAGGGGGCTGGGCCTGAAGCCCTAGCCCCTTTGGGATTCCCTCTTGAGAAGCTGAGGAAGCTGGGAAGGCCCTAGTGCCCCTCCTAACCCAGAAGGAAGTCCGGGGTCAGGGTCAGGGGAGAACTTGTTTTCAACACGGGATCAAGAAGTTTTGCTTTGTTTTCCGGTTGTAAACCAGCCAGGAGCACTGGTGCTGCTCTATAGCCAGGCCAGAGCAGCAGCAGAAAGACGGAAGAGAGTCAGATCCTGTGTGCCTCAGGCCTGGGGAGCAACTCTCTGGGCCAGCCTCCAGACCCCAAAGTCCAGATCCTGGCAAAGTATCCCCAGCTGGGAGTGGGGCCAAGAGGAGCCTGGTGTGACACAGCCCCACAAGGTTGTGTGTCCTGAACTTGCAGATCTTATCACCCAAATACAAGCGTCTGGCCCGGGAGGACACCTTCAGATACCCCCAGAGAAGCAGATAACATTTCATTAGCCACACATGTACATCTACATGAGTGTACACACTAGCACGTACTCTGGTGTACCCGTGTGCGCAGGTCAACAGACTTGCACAGAGAGCAGGGGCATACCCACAAATGCATACACGCACACACTCGGTTACGTCCTTGCCCGAGTGTCTTCAAACACACAGATCAAATCACTGCAGGTTCACACCACGTTTGCAAAGGGCAACCTCCCAACAGAGAAGGCTGCTCTTAGAATAGGCAGGAGCCAGAGGCAGAGAGTGGCTCAGAGCCAGGGAGATCACTCAGGGGCCTGAGGGGTGACACCTTGGAGAAGGGAGAATTGACAGGAGTTTCTTCTTCCCGGGGAGTCCCGTTGGTCCCCCTCCATTTGGAACCCAGGGAGATTTTTCAGACGTTTCCTCCTCCCTTGGGGCACCTAAAAGAGAAGGTGACTCAAGGAGCAGGGGCATAGGTGGGTGGGATGACTCACCCGGTGTGTCTGGAGGGAAAATGTGGTCTGGCAAGAGCTAAGGTCGTTTCTCAACCTCCAGGGCCTTACCCGACTCCTCTGAGGCCCCCTGAAATCCAGGCCTGGGCCAGGAGGCCCCTGGGGTGCTGATGGTGAGTGAGCGGGGTGAGTTCCTTCTGCCCCTCAGCCCTCGGAACTGTCAGCTGAGGGAGAGGTGGAAGCAAGGCGCTCTCTGGCTCAGGATCGGTCTACATGGGCTATCTGTGCACATAGGCTCAGCTGTGTCCCACTTGCTGCCCTCCTGGATTCTCCCAGAGCCCTGAGATCACTGGCAAGTCGGTTCGTGCAGCAAAGCAGCAGGGAGTGTTGGAGAAGGAGACCTGGAAAGGTTCGCCAACCCACTGCACAGGAAACCAGGGCTGACTTGAAACTGACCAGGCGAGGACAAGAGAGTGGGCTTGGGGAATCAGCTCTGAACACACAAACAGGCCTGCTTGGCTTCCCGCCCATGGTTCTGTGCTTGGCTGAGAAGATGGAGGAAACTCCCAAGGCCGCAAGGGTCTTCACTTGGCCCTGACTGTTAACAGTAACCAAACTCCAACAGAAACAGCCAGAGGTGACTTCAAATAAACGGGAGCTGACTATCCTTTGAGCCGTGTGAGAGCTATCAGGTCAGTCAAGGAGGCAGCCGGGCTCCTATTCCTAGTCTTTGGTTTGGATGGAGGAAGAGAAGAAAGCTGAGAAGAGGCAAGTGAGCAGGACGGTCAGTCGGCGCCTACATGAAGTAGAGCCAGGCATGGCCACCATCATCTCCACCATCTGGAGATCCTGCAGAAGGGGAAGGAAAGACGCAGAGGCAGGCAGGAGAAGACAACCAAACAGAATATAAAGCTGGTTGACCCAAGGCATCTTAAGGCGTCTGGGTGGAGGATGGCCAGCCTCAGCATAGGTGCATGTGGGGGCACAGCCTGGGAGTGTGCGTCCAAGGTCCCTGCAGGCATGGGCATGGGGTCTTCAGCATCAGTCAAGCGCAGGAGGGAAGCCGGGCTTGTCCCTGAAGCTCGGCCTGTCAGCCACCCCCAGGCCTGGCTCAGCTCCCCACCAGCCTCACTTCACCCTGGTGGAAAGCTTTCTCCAGAGCTGTTGTTTGAAGTTCCAACTCAGCTAGCCCCACCCTACATGAAATCTGAGACTAGGGATGGAGTTCCCGAGCCTTGCGCTGCTCTGAAAATCACTCCGATTTCAAACTTGAAGATTGGCTTCCTAACCATTCTTTAAGGCCTTGCCCCAGCCCCATCTCCTCCATGAGGAATCCTCAAACTGCCCAGCTCACTTTTTCTCTGCCACCGCCACGCCGCAGATGGGCCAAGGCTCTCCTTTAGCCTTCTAGGTCGTTGCTCTCTAAGTTGGTACTTCACACAGATGGTTTATGCTATTGGTTATGTCTGTGTCTTGGCTCTAAGAGCAGAAGGCAGGTTTTACACTTCTCTTATCCACACCATCGATGATTGGCACATATTAGGCATTTGGTAAACGTCGATGAATTGGATGAGGAGCCCCGGGCGGCTGGCATAGAGGATGACGCGGTGGGCTGCTAACTGCAAGGTCTGAAGTTTGAAACCACCCTCCACTCAGCAGCGGGAGAAAGATGGGGTTTTCTACCCCCATTGAGAGTGACAGTCTCAGAAACCCTCAGGGGCAGTCCTGCCTGTCCTATAGGGCCACCATGAGTAGGAACTGACTCAGTGGCGGGGAGTTCACTTTGGTTTGGAGATGAATTGGATGAATAAGGGGGCACACACAAAAAGCCAATGAGTAGCCTGTTCCCAAAGACCAAGGGGGAAACCTCAAAACAAGTACAGAGAATAAAGCAAGAATCGGAGGCACAGAAAACAGACGGTAGGCAACCAACATTTATTGCACTCTGTGTGTGAAGCACTAATAAGTGTTTTTAAATGTTCTCATATTTAATCCTTACAACCAACTCCGTGTCTTAGCAGATCCGTTTCACAGGTGAGAAAAGCGAACTTCAGAGATGATAATTAGCCTGCCCAATAATGTGGTACAGCTAATGAGCCCTGGGTCCAGGATTGAAATTAGGTCACCTCCATGGAAAGCCATGCCCTGTCTACTTAGCATCATGCCCTCCCCAGGCACCCAGGGAGAAAGTTGACAGCTCACTTCCTGCTTTACCCATAGCCTGGCAGGGGTGCAGGAGGAAGGGACCAGGAGTTTGTCCTTTCCCCCTCCCACTGTGCAGGGATTCCTATTCCTACGTTTTGCTGTGATCCATCCACCCAGTTTGGCATGTGAAAGAAAGAAGAGTCCTTGACCGGGGTCCACAGGGTCAGGCACCCCAGGCTACACACTGTCCCACAGCCCCTGGCTCTGTGGAGGCAGGCTGAAGCCAGGGGCAGAAAGTTGAGAAAAACTCCACTATCTTCACTTGATCTAAACCAAAAGGCTGAGAAGGGAGAAGCTCCATTGTCTTGTACCCTCTGTGTACTCTTGTCCCAGGCAGCCTGCTCAGGGTCATCCGGTCAGGCAAATGGCCATCTGGTCACTCCAGGGGTAGGACCCTTCTGGGTCCAGCAGGAGTGAAGGGGTTACACATGGTCTTCACAGACAAAGAGCATGCGCATACACAGACACAAACACATACTGCAAGGGCTCTAACCTAGGCTAATTGGCTTCTGGTGTCTGGTGGGGGGGGGGGGAGTTGATGTATAGTATCTGGGTTCTCTTTGTGTTTTTCCTCTCTCTCTCTCTCTCTCTCTCTCTCTCTCTCCACCTCAACTTGGCCTTGGTAAGAGCCTCCTGGCACTTAGGAGAAAAGATAAGTCCTTTTTGGTCTGGCTTCTCTGACTTTGACAGCTGCCTCCTGGGTCCCAGAAAGCTGCTGCTGCTGCCAGTCAGAGACTGTGGGATGCCCTGGGAGCAGAGTCTTAGGGGATCAAGTGAGAAACTTTCTTCTTCCACTTGGGCAGGGCTGGGGACCTCCACTGACTGCTCCTTGAAGGTGCAGGCCTCCCCACACCAGGCTAGACAGATGTGCTGCCCCAGGACAGGCAAGACAGGATGGCAAAACACCAAGCCCTCGGGCAGGAGATGGGGGAGAAAAGAAAAGTGCACACACACACACACACACACACACACACACACACAGACACACACACTCAAGGGAGTTTGGCAGAAAAGTTCCCTGAAAGAGGACAAGCTTCTTTGCCCACCCCCACGCCCCTCCCCGATTTCACTAGAAATCCAAGGACATTTATTTCCCCAGGAATCTTCTCGGCAGACCAGAGGCAGCGGCAGCGGCAGCGGCAGAACTTCAGTCCTAAAAGTCCCCCAAACTACCCCCCCTCCTCTCTCGTTCTTTTGTTCCCCGCTGCATTGCCAACCAGGCAGCTCCCGGCTTCCCACACTGGACTGTCCTCCCCCAACCCCAAACCCTAAACCCAGTTCCAGCCTCCCCGCGGGGCCTGCCCGGGCCGCGGTCCCACGCACCCCGGCCGCGGGTGCGTGTGCCGGGGGGCGCACTCACCCGCCTTGCAGGGGTCTTTGTAGTTGAGGGGCTCCGAGTCGTCCTCTTCTCCCAGGTCATAGGTGTAGTCGGCCAAGTCCAGCGG